TGGCATGTCACTAAACAACCACTCGGCTAACATCACAAACCGAGATGCTCAGTCATTCTTTGCCTTCTAATAAAGAACGCAGGGCAACTAGGACCTTGCCCGAAAGGTCAAATATGAATCTGATCAAAATTCCGCAGCCAGCTGCCAATTGACAGGAAACAGAGAGGATGGAAGGACACGTCGACCTCTTCCGTGTGTGCACTCAGAAACCTCTTGGCTCTGAGAAACCAAGTGTCAAACGGTTATTCAAAAGATTCATCGGTGGTGGTGTCAGCTGCCCTGGCGTCACAGATACCACGGTGCTATCATGTAAACTGGAAAGAATCAGTGGTGGATCCTACGCCGTCCCCATCACCAGCTGCAAATCAGTTTGAAATGCTTGTCATCCATCCTTGGCCGATGTCCGTAAGTAGCTTGGCAGGCCTTTCTTCCTAGTCCCTCTCAGTCTGGAAGCTCTGCTGAAACCTTTTCAGCAACCACAGGCTTCTGCTGACAGATGGCTGTCCACTGTGCGTGAAGCACCTTGGCCAGGAATCAAACCCAGGTCTCCAACACGGAATGCAGTAATTCTACCAGTGAACTACCCCTGCCCCAGTAAGTGAAGCAGATGCAAAAGAGTGGGGAGAAGGAACCGGTAGATGAAAGGGCATAAGGGACATCTCCCCCAAACCTTGTGTGTCTTTCAGATCCAAATGATGAGACATGAGTCTATGCAAACAGAGTTGAACTCTGACGCTCTGGAATCCCATTTTAAGTGCACATTTAGGGAAACAACTTTTAGATGAAAAGTTTAAGACTTTAAAATGTAAATATGTAAACTTTGGAGTTGTTTAAACATTTACATTTAATTTGTTTTTGAAAATTTGTTCCATCAGAAAATGGTTATATAGTGGAACTGGATATACTTATTAGACTCACAAACAAAATATAACTGAAAAGGGGCTTTTGCAGCTAATGTATGAATTTTTCAATGCCAGCTAGTTTTAAATGCTCTATAAATGTGTCTCTTTGTATGATTTAAAAAACGTGTCTCATCTATTCTCTCTTTCAAGAATTACATCTATGAGATGTCCGGATTGGAAATGAGCAATTACATCAAATCCATATCTAAAATTAATTATCATGAAATAAACCTGAGTTCCCTAAGCTTTTTTATTACGCTTTTGTCAGGATCTTTTGGAGCCAGCAGAGGGCACCAGACAGCAAAGTACCTCTGAGTCTCTTCTCAAACACTGCTGTCGAATGTCCTTTGCTGAAAGAAATGTTTAAAACTTTTACTAAGGAGATAAGAATATATGTTTTACTAAGTAAAGTGGGAGTTTGAAAAACCCTTTGTTTACCTGAAACATTGTTGAAACATTAAGGAAACAATGTAATAGAGCCCTGAAGGCACTTTGGGTTAGGCTGCTCACCACCACCTGGCAGTTTCATCCAGTTGAGGAAGCAGAGACGTCCTGCTTCTGTACTGCCTGCTTCTGCACTTGATCTCAGAGAGTCAAAACTGACTCCACAGCCGTGGGCCATCCTCAGTGATGAAATTGTTTTTCCAAACATGAGATCAGTGTTTTAAGTTTCAGCATTACAAAGGCAGTTGATAGGGAATTGAATTTAGACCATCACCTTCCACTCAGGAGGGAGGAGGGGTGTCACTAAGGCTGTCCTTTATGTGCAGAGCCTTCTTTTTTGTTCTTTGAAGAAGAAGCGAGGATGGGGTGGTCCGCCATTCTCTCCTAAATCTCCCCGCCCCAGTGCATCCGCAGCTTAGGGCCTTCCGGTGGCTGTCTGCCTGCTTTTTGTGTCGCAGTATAGACATTCTCCCCGGAAGGGTCCCTTCAGCTGGGCCCTTCTGTCTTCACAAGTGACTCTAAGTTAAAAATGTAGGAGATTTTAGCAGCTCCGTTGGAATCATTACCGAAAGTCACTCCTTCAAAAGAGGGAGAAGGTTGAAGAAAATTAAGTGGTAAAGCTTTCTGAATAATGTTTAGGGTACTCTCAGAATGTCATCTAATCAATGACATCGACCCTTTCCTCGTTGGCCACCTATCAATTAAGCCTCCAGGAGTCCTAGTGAATAATAAAGCTAGTTGAGTTTTCCTGGTTTGAAAATAAAGTAGGTTTTCCATTTTTCCTCATATGGAGGAAATTACCAATTGTTCAATGATCCTCATCCGTATTACAGATCTTCCCTGAAACGATGAAATTAAATTGCTGACTGTGGTGTTATCTGGGTTCTCAGTTATGGTTGAAAAGATCATCTCATAATTATCCTCCTCAAGCTAGGGCTATGTGAGCCCACCGCGTCACATGACAGCATTT